GCAAAGGTCTCAGGTTTGATGCCTGATCATTGACCAATGCAGGATGCCAACCGATTGCAGTAAACAGCCAACAGCGCATCTATTTTACTTTATGTGTATTCAATGTGGGATGACAAGAGTGCTGTGTAAAGTGATTCGCGCATGATCAGTTTGCCCCACTTACCTCAAAATTTATTTTTACGTCAATTTCTCCAAGAATTTTAACGTATTTGAGTTTTAAATTAGTGTTGGAGTTTTTGAAGCCGTTTAAAACACKTGAGATCGTGTTTTATCAGGTATAAAGATTCTCGCCTTCGCCTCGAATCTTCAGTCTCATTCTATTGACCTAATAACTCATTAATTATGCATGAGTTTTTGAAKAAAAACGACTCGCACAGACGACTATCCTTGAAACTCTTTTAGTTTTTTCATATAGCGATACGTTTTTCACGTCTATTTTTTGAAAAAATAAGGTAAGTTGAGTGAACTATCACAAGCAACAAACGCAATGTCAAATAGAAATGACACTGTCATCTGAGATAATAAAGATTGTACAATTGAGAGAACACAAGAAACGTTTCATTGCCAGTAAAAAAAATTAACATGTCGGAAGCTGCAATTTCTAAAGACTTACAAGGTTAGTCATAGGCTAGTTTTACTATATATTAGAAGGTAAAAACAGTATGCTACTCCATAATTTACTTTCACTTACTTTCATATAGTGCAACTGAATGGAATTGCACGAAATAACTCGAGGCTGTTAAATTTGTCGCTTGACTGATGAGCATCGATTGTTGGCGGCAATTTTATGAGAAAACCCAGATAGCGTGTAAACCGTTCAAATTTATAGCAATTTCACTGCAAGAGCTCTCAGTTTTGTCGAAGCAAATTCGAATTCGAACCTCTCGAAGTTTTTAGTACAAATCGCAATTATTTTATTTATACAGGATGAGAATGAATATTCAGAGAAAACACAAATCTTTGTTCAGTTCTATTGTAACGACTACATTTCTCCATGCTTTCTGTGGTATTTGGTAATGCCTTTGTGCAGGATAATCTATTGTCATTTAAAACAGCGTTGTACGTACTTGAGAGTGTTCTTTGAAGAGTTCGTAGCGTTACTGAAGACTTTATTTGTTATATTTACAAACAAGATGGATACTAAATGGATAGAATACAAGTGTAAATCAGGACAGACTCTTTATTATTACAACAAACTGACAGGAGAACGCAAGTGGCCTTCGTATGTAAATGTAAGTTAGAAAATCATGACCACTTGCGACATAACAACTGGACATTCAACCTTGAAATCAGTGAGCAGCAGTGTCCAGGATGACACGAGGAGACATGCATGTAAAAAAAAGTGTAGTCAAGANCATTTCTCCATGCTTTCTGTGGTATTTGGTAATGCCTTTGTGCAGGATAATCTATTGTCATTTAAAACAGCGTTGTACGTACTTGAGAGTGTTCTTTGAAGAGTTCGTAGCGTTACTGAAGACTTTATTTGTTATATTTACAAACAAGATGGATACTAAATGGATAGAATACAAGTGTAAATCAGGACAGACTCTTTATTATTACAACAAACTGACAGGAGAACGCAAGTGGCCTTCGTATGTAAATGTAAGTTAGAAAATGGTACTCCCATATATTTGCTATACGGGGACGTGCCGCTGGCACATGGTATACATTTCACCCAAAATTGTCYTAAACAGGCTCTACAATTTAGATAAAAGACCGATATAATTTTTGTGTGTGTCTTCGAAAGGGTAATATCTTAGTAAAAAACACCGTACAAATAGTAGAAATACCGTTTCACTGTCCCAGRATTAACGTGTTATAAAAAACGATATCAGTATAATTGCAGTTTTGATGGYCGCGGCGTAGATAGCTATTCCTTATTTTTCCGATTTGTCTTGAAGAGGGTATGGATTTTTACTTTAGACCGCTGGTGGCACGTACCTATCCAAAACGGGGGCACGTATAGTTAATTACATGTAGCCGAGTACGTAGTTAAGTACGTGTAGTCAAGTACGCTGCTACGTAAATAGCTAAGTACGTAGCAAAGTACGTATAGCCAAGTACGTAGTTACGTACGCGTAGCCGAGTACGTAGTAACGTACGTATATATGTGTAGGCGAGTGTGCAGTTACGTGCGTGTAGCCGGCAAAGCAAATAAATTAAATTAAATAAACTAGCCGAGTAGGTAATTACCAACGTGCACATGTAATCAATTACGTAATTAATTACTTAGCAAAKTACGTAGATAATAAACTGGCGCGAGTCTTCTGTAGCCAGCGAGCGTACTGTCTAGTAAGAATGCAAAACATCCCGGTACACATGCAGAACACTATCTTCGTCGCTGATTCGCAGACGATCACAACGACAGCWTTGGTTCGACTGAACGCAGTCTAGCATGATTTCTCAGCAGTTTCATTAGTTTGTCCAAAGTATGTTAATTGAAATACTTTATCCTTTCAGTGTTCAGCAGAAGACGAGAAGGGCATGATTGGTCAGCCAGTCATCGGTCAAGATTTGTGTACAGGAACAGATATAGGTTGTCCTTCCAGTTTAGGGCCAAACACAGAACTTTCACCTCAACAAAAGCCATTTGTTTTCCATGCAGAAGATGTTAAAGATGAAGAAGACAGTAGAATAGATGCAGATGGAATTATTGATGCAATGTTGAAAGTTCTTGAGGAAATAACTGATGGAAATGACGCTGAACATTTCGTAGAGATTACAAGTGACAACAACAATGAAACAACAGATAAATATGTCAACTATAAAGATAGTGATGAGAATATGGAAAATGTACTTCAAGAAGGAGATGGGAATGGGATGGGAAATGACAACAACAATGAAGCAACAAATACCTATGTTAGCAGTAAAGATAGTGATGAGAATATGGAAAGTGTACTTCAAGAAAGAGATGGGAATGGGATGGGAAATGACAACAACAATGAAATATCAAATACCTATGTTAGCAATAAAGATAGTGATGAGAATATGGAAAGTTTATTTCAAGAAGGAGATGGAAATGACACTGAATGTTTGGTTGGATTTATAAGTGACAACATTAATGAAGAAACAGATATCTCTGTTCATCACAAGGAGAATGCTTTGTCTACAGTAAAAGAAAGCAAAATTCGTTTTAACTGTTCTTACTGCAGTAAGAAATTTAATTACAGAAGCCAATTGAATGTTCATTTAAGAATACACACTGGAGAGAAACCTTATGAATGCTCTTACTGCAAAAAGAAATTTACACGAAGGGCGCATTTGCAAAGTCACGTATTATTGCACACTGGAGAGAAACCTTATGAATGTTCTTACTGCAAAAAGAAATTCACACAAAAGTCGCATTTAAAAAGTCACGTAACAATACACACAGGCGAGAAAGCATTTGGATGTTCTTATTGCCAAAAAAGATTTGCCCATAAGACCACTTTAAGAACTCACCTATATACGCACACTGGAGAGAAACCTTATGAATGTTCCTTTTGCAACAAGAAATTTACACAGACATCACATTTGAAAGATCATTTCAGAACACATTCCAGAGAGAAACCTTTTGAATGTTCATACTGCAAAAATAAATTTTCACATAAAAATATAAACACATAAAAGATTCATTTGAGAATACACACTGGAGAAAAGCTATTTCAATGTTCATACTGCAAAAAGGCATTCACAAGTAAGAGCTGTTTAGAGAATCATTTGAGAATACACACTGGAGAGAAGCCCTTTGAATGTTCATACTGCAAAAAGAAATTCTCACAACTGTCAAATATGAGACGTCACCAAAGATCCCACTGGAAAGAAGCCTTTTGAATGTTCATATACTGCAAAATGAAATTTTCACTAAAGATGGGCGTTTCAATTCATTTTATTGTTTTTTTTTTATGATTGACAAGAATTTATTACTATAGCATCGTATCCATGGTGTGCATTCACGACTTTCCACACTCAGGTCCAGTGACCATGAACAAAGCATTGCAACGAGGCCTCAAGGTACAGCGATAACAAAAGAAAAGATCTGTGATCAGTGTTCCTTGACGCCTCGGTTCAATGCTTTGTTCGTAGTCACTGAACCTGAGTATGGAAAGTCGTGAATTGGGTTTGGTGACAGGATTTCATAGATGTGTCTATTGTAGGATTCTGTTTGATCAATGAACAATCACTTTCGGTCTTACTCGCTCACTTAAGTCCGTGAACCAAAATAACGAAACATGGCGAATGACAGTCAAAGCAAATTTTCTTCTAGTCTTTCTGAAATAAGTATTTAAAATGAGGATTTTACATAATTAAATGGAAGACTGGATAAAAATCTAAAAATAGACATGTCTATGAAAACGGCACGTCACTCCTAGTGACACACAAACAACACACTTAGACTTCTAATCACTTTGAATTTATTATTTTATAATATTTGAATTTACTACAAATAAATTTTAACAAATTTAAGCTTAAGCACGAGATATTTAAAAGTATTATTCCGTATTTTCAAAAACTACCGTACAGGAAGAGAAGAGACTAACAGCATTGCACACCAGATGTCTTCTATCACCACAAGAATAAAATGTACTCAGTTGAGCCATTGTACAAAGGATATTTTTATGTTTTATGCATTTTGTGTTTTTATTCTAAAATATCAGGTGAAAATAAAAATATATATTTTGACTATCATGCATTATTGAAAGGCATTTAGACGAAGAAACGGCTCTTATTCTCATCCTTATTCATTATTTGTCATTCCACACCCCGCACTCCACTTTCTTAGACATTCCCGCCAAATAGGAGATGTTGTAACGTGATTGGTCCGAAAGACAGTCCAGAATCCATTTCGGCCTGACTGACGAGTAACGCCTGGTAGAAGTTGGTATTTTGCGTGTTGGTCTGATGAGTTTGTTGTGTTATTGTGTGATTTCACTCTATTTCTAAGGGTTTATTATTCGTTTTACAAACAAGATGGATACTAAATGGATAGAATGCAAGTGTAAATCAGGACAGACTCTGTATTACTACAACAAAGTGACAGGACAACGCAAGTGGCCTTGTGTAAGTTAAACGACTATGTAGATTTTCACTCTCTTTGTATGAATGACTGCATGTTAATTTGCCTCATTTAGTTGACGCAATTGGATTTTACGCGGTTGATTCTTCCTTTATTGAAGCACTAGTTTTAGTTTATTATATCTACGACATACATTTTGTGCGTAAGAATTGATCAGCTGGACAAAGATAGTGTATTTTGTACGATGTGTCTTCAGCATCTGCTAACGCGCTGCGCTATAATCGTTTCCTTCCAATTCAAACCATGCCGGAGAAAGTTTCATTGTTCGTTGTATTTTGATATACAATTGAACAAAAGTCCTTTTTCCCACAGGATTTGAATTGGTTAGCAACGTACACAGCAACGCGTCTAAAGTCGATTATGGCTATCCGTTAGGTTCTTACTTACTAAATCCTGCGCAGTCCAAAACTTTACAAAACTTGCTGTAAACTAAATAGAAACATAAAGAGTTTGTTATACTATATTATAATAAAGAAGGAATGCCCAGCACCTATTAACGGTAAAAAGAAATCCAGACCTATCAGACTTTTTTATACTGACTGGTATTTCGGCATATATTTAAGAAATATAAAACGACGCGCGTGTCTCTGTCCTCTGATATAAACACGGTCGTCAGCCAATCAAAGCGCGCGTTATATATCGAAAATTTTATAAATGTGCATATTTTGTAATCAAATGGCAAGAACAACAAACAACTGCAACAAAAATTTTAATACACATTGCACATTATGTTACAAGTTAAGTGAATAGAAAATGAAGTTGAATAAATAGGAATATATAAGGTTTTCTTAATGTTGTGCCTAAAGGCCAAAAAAACTGGTAAGTCTAGTTAGCCTTTAATAATAAAGTTAAAAATTACGTTTCTGTAGAAATGAAAAAGAGAATTATAGTAGAAATAGATAAAGAGTAAGTACGTACTGTAGAAGTATTGTAAATATAAAGTTAAATTAAGAATCAATTATTTGGTGGGAATGTAGATGGCATTTAGCCTTTTTTGAAAACGATTTAGTATTGCTATCTAATCTAGTAGTCTGGGGAAGTTTTTCTCATATCTTTACAGCAATAAAAGATATAGATTGTTTACCTAAGTTTGTTTTAGAGGCAGGTATAGATAGATTTAATTTGGAGGAGTATCTGGTGTTGTAATTATGGCGTTTATTGGCATATTTGATCCAGCTATCAAAGTGTTTTGGTAGTAGGTTAAAATGCCACTTWTGAACAAGTTTGAGGATATTTAAGTGGAAAATATTTTCAACTGTTAATAATTCCGGTAAATTGAAGAGGGGCAAAGCACTGTCAGTTTCTTTCCCATAAAGTTTGGCAAAAAAGATCAATCTAATTACATGGTTTTGCTTTACTTGAATTTTTTGAAGGTTTTGATCGTTGCTATTTATTAGAGTGGAAGGCAGTGGCGGCCATCAAAATTTTGTCAATATTTGTTCAAGAAAAACTGCAGTTGATGTGTTTTAGTCAATGAGATTTTCATGTTATTTATTTGATCACGATAGCAAAATAAACCACCTTTACCATAATGACTGCAATTGTGTTTTTCCAAAATAAGAAAGATATGAATATTTTGTCACTTTAACATCTAAGAACTAGCAGAAATAAACGTTTTTGGAACGTTTTAGAACTCTGGACAAAATAGGAAAAAAGTTACGGTGAAATAAAAATACAAAGAAATGTATGTAATTTTCCACCAATGGCTGTCTGTCGATTTGCTTCTGGATATGAAATATGTGAAAACTTTGTCACTGTCATGTGAATGAACTACCAGAAATAAACATTTTTGGAAAGTTTTACAGCCCTGGATAAAATGCGAACAGAGTTATGACGAAATGAAAATACAAAGAAATGTAAGTAATTTTCAGCCAAGGCCTTTATAGCCTCGTTCTGGTGTTATGATATATTTAAAATCCTTATAACTTCACAAGAATTTAATATTTTCATTTCAAACTTTTATATGTTGTTATTAGCACAGGTTCCTATCAGCTGCTAGTTTACTTTGACTAAAATTCTAAATTTTAAAAATCTATGTTAATTAGATGGCGACCATTATGGTAAAGTTGTACTGCTGAATATATTTAATGCACATACAAAAAATATGCCTGAAAAAATATTAAATGATTTATAAACAGTACTTGTCAAAACCAGTAATCTTCCGATATCATTTCAGTCTTTAATAGGAGACAATCAGGCCATGATTGGTCAGCCAGTCATCAACAAAGACTTGTGTACACAGACAGATATTGGTTGTCCTTCCAGTTTAGAACAAAGCACAGAAACTTCACCTCAACAAAAGCCATTTGTTTTCCATGCAGAAGATATTAAAGATGAAGAAGACAGTAGCATAGATGGAGATGGAATTATTGATGCAATGTTGAAAGTTCTTGAGAAAATAACTGATGGAAATGAAGCTGAACATTTGGTAGAGATTACAGGTGATAACAACAATGAAACAGCAGATAAATATGTCAACAATAAAGATAGTGATGAGAATATGGAAAGTGAAATTCAGGRAGGAGATGSAAATGTAGGCACTGAACACTTAGTAAAGTTTGCAAGTGACAATAATAACAAGACAGAAGATATCTCTATTCCTGACCATGGGCAGAAGGAGAAACGTGTGAAATGGTCACCTTGCAAAGAGATAGAAAAACTTTTCAATTGTTCTTATTGCAACAAGAAATTCAGTTCAAAATGCAATTTGAATGTTCATATAAGAATACACACTGGAGAGAAACCTTTCGAATGTTCTTACTGCAAAATGAAATTTAAACAAACGTCAAATTTGCAAAGTCACGTAAAATTGCACATTGGAAAGAAAGCATTTGAATGTTCTTATTGCCAAAAAAGGTTTGCCCGTAATACCACTTTAAGAGATCACCTATATACGCACACTGGAGAGAAACCTTATGAATGTTCTTACTGCAAAAAGAAATTTACGCAAAAAGGTCATTTAACCAGTCACTTACAAATACACACAGAAAGGAAGCACTTTAAATGTTCTTACTGCGAAAAGATATTTGCCAGAGAAGACACTTTAGGTCGACAAATCAGATTGCATACTAGAGAGAAGCTCTTTGAATGTTCTTATTGCAAAAAAGAATTTGTCAGCGGAGAAGGTTTAACACATCACTTAAGAACACATACTGGAGAGAAACCATTTGAATGTTCCTACTGCAAAAAGGAGTTTTCAAATAAGGGAAATTTGACACGTCACTTAAGACTACACACTGGAGAGAAACCATTTGGATGTTCCTACTGCAAAAAGGAGTTTTCACGGAAGGCTAATTTGATCTGTCACTTAAGAATACATACTGGAGAGAAACCCTTTGAATGTTCTTATTGCAAAAAGAGGTTTTCACAGAAGACTAGTTTGATCTTTCATCTACCATTACACACTGGCGAGTTGCAAGTGGTGAACTCTTTTTGCAATCGGTACGACGTGACAAACTGAACCACAGGAAGCCCAAATTTCTGCTGCCACATATATCGAGACGGAACAGCACCACTTCACTACCTATTTAATATTAGCCTGCAATAATCAAGCTTTCGTTATTGACTCGTGGAAAAGTAAAACTAGTTTTAGGGGTATGTTAGGTACTTTGAGCTAGTTACTAGAATGTAGATCATTGCATCATGCGAGTAAAGATTGTAAAGACTTCCTCTACTTCAAAACAACTTTTGACCTACTTCGTCTCTTTTAATGGCTCAAAACCCAGATATCGATCTAGAATGATTACAATTCAATTCAAATTCGTCGCTTTTTGAAAACTAAAGATATTTGAAAAGTAAGCTTAAAACTTAGCTAAAATCAAACTGAATGGACTCTTAGATCGTTTAGACAACTTGACATCACCAGTACACAATAATTATTATTTGCAGTATCACAAAAGGACTTTCAGGTGTAGTGATCCGCGAGGAAAAATTATTCACTTGTTTTGTAAAAATCACTTCAATAAAGAAACACCGCAGTCGCTCGACAGACTACATGCGTCGGTTCTGGTAACCAGCAATGCAGCATCAATGGCCACCTTTTAAGAGAGCTAGTCTGTAAAAACCGAACATCGTCGGCAGACCTCAAAAAATCAAAATCCTTCAAACTTTTCTAGATAATAGCCTTTGGGTTACTAGTTAATATAATATAACTCAAACAAAAATCGGGCGATTATTTTTTAAGAACGAAGTGAATTTCGATTTTAGCCATTCTAGAGCCTAATTATAGCTATGAATACAACCTCACAAAAAAGGGTGTTTCTTCAAAAATATCGACATAAACACAAGTTTCGTATCAATGTTTCAAAAGATCATAGAATTTCGGGGATTTGTGAGTTTTCCTGGTCGAATTGGTCAAAAGTGGAATATTTTACAGATTTTTGCTTTTGATCAATT